AAGCTAGCATCCAAACAAGAACAAGTCCCATCCCAGCAATGGGTCTCAGAATCCCTCAAGGAAGGAGGGAATGAAACATGTAGCTAAGCACATTGCTCTGAGCATATGAAATTGTTTTCAGTCCACAATTTCTAGAACTGATGTCCTGGCTGGGAGTCAGCATTCTCTTCCTCCCTTGGCAGACAGATTGTTAACATTAACATATCTGGGTGAGATTAGCCAACTCCACTCTACCTTGCCTCAAGTCTTATTTTAAAGTGTTGGACTGAATTATCTTTTGAGTCAAGAGTGGAGGCACAGATACAGGAGACAGGTCAACTAGAGCTTTCATTAACCTAGGGGAAATATATTGATATTTTGTTTCATAACAGAAACTTTACACTGGTTATAGTGTAAGCTGAACTGCATCCTCTTACAAGAGAAGTTGTGATCCCTGCACCCATGAGTGTGAATATAACATATTTATTTGACCATATGGTCTCTACCACAATGTAATTATGTTAAGGATCTCAATACGAGACCATCCTAGATGTAGGATGGATCCTAAATCCTGCGACCGGTATTCTTATAAAAGAGAGACTTGACACAGACAAGGAAAGATCATGTGAAAAGAGGCAGAGGCTGTAGTCATTCTGCCACAAGCCAAGGAAGTGCAGGACATAGCAGGAAGCAAAGGAGTTGGTAGGGATTATCCTCAAGAGCCTCAGAGGCGCCGGGGGCATGGGAACACCTTGCTCTTTTGGACTTCAGCACTCAGAACCATGAAAGAGTATTTTCCTTGCTGTTGTTTTAAACAACCAAGTCCAAGGTGATTTGTTATAGCAAACCTAGGGAGGTAATAGAAAGGCAGAGTGCACTGAGTGGACCCACACTGTCACTTCTATGGCTGAGACTCATCTCAGTGCTCAGCTCTGCTTGGTTTTGTACCTCCAGGTTCTGGCACTTTGTACACACATGGTGGAAAACGTAGCCACAAGCAGTTGAGGGGCAAGGTCCTATCAACTCAGTGCCTCAGGCACTGAGTTGCTTGTGCCTGGCTTGGAATGTGCGTTCCTCCTGAAAGACTGCAGTCCTCATGGACCTGTTGACTGAGAGGTTAAAGTCTGGTCCCGTGTCTTCTGCAGTAGGAAGACTGTCCCTCACTGAGGATGGGACAGTCAAAAGACAAGAGGGTGATTATGAGCTGATGAGAGGGCAGGAACCCTCTCTCCAGAAAGCAGGGGAAAAAAAAGTGATGGAGAAAGACCAGATGGAGTGGAGAGAAGGTAGACAGAGGGGAAGAGGTGTCTCCTGTACAAATTTTGTAGGTAAGATAAGAAGGGTCCAGGGGACTGGATACGAGAAAGTGATGGTCTGGGAGGAGCCGTGGGGTCTTGGTTCCGAGTGCACTCAGAATTAGGGAGGAATAAAAAGAGGCACTTTCTAGAGATCTAGTTCAGAAATGGATGTTTATATTGAATTTTTCATATATTCCTGGCATGGCAAACTAAAGGACAATTCTTAGACAACCAAAAAATTCCTTTCTAAAAATCCATTCAAATTCACAATTTATCAAATGCTGTGAAAACAATTGTTTTTGAGAAATTAAACCCAGAGAAAGCTGAATATGTCTGCACAAGGTCTCTCTCATAAACACAGCTTCAGAGAATATTTCCATCCTCCAAGTTTAGCAAAGAGAGGTATTTTTAAAATACAATATTTGAGGGAATATTTTACAGATGAAAAGCCATGGGTTTCTCAACCCAGAGTGTTCTGAAAAGGTGGATTTTAATTTCCGAAAAGACAAAAGCCAAGAGAAAAAGAAAATGCATATCTTCATGCACTTGAGAGCTAGGATATTACTTAGATGGTGAAGTTTTATTCTGAAAAATGACTGTCAATTATGATTAATATTCTCCTTATAATTAATTCAAAATCTTATTAAAATCAAACTTTTATAACTTTACATATAAGCATACCGCCTCTGCCAGGATGGAGAATATGCTTTGCCATTAATTTTACCTGTATCATTTCTCAGTTCTCAAAAAAGGCAATAAAAGTTCCCTCCTTGAAAATCATCAATGCTGGGCCACCCTCATCTCCATAATGACACAATTTCCAATTCACGCCTCATTTTCATTAATGTTTCTGGCCATAAATTTTTAAGCATATGATAAAAAATTTCTGAAGCGGCATAAAACTAACATGAAGAGGGAGTTCATTAGCATGTGACCCTAATTAGAAATTCCACATTAACTTCACATTTCTACTTCTGTAGATCCAATAATGTTGCCTCTCTACCCTGAGTGTGCTTTTACAATGGTGGGAGGAAATATTCCTTTTGGTTGTTTAATTCCGTGGCTTTATTTTTAAAACAATCCATGTGTCTCCTCTGTTATTGAATAAGTCAACAGACAATTGTATCACAGAACGCCTTTTGTGTCACAAATTATCCAGAAGAATTGTGAGAAGGTCCTTGCCCAATGCTTTATTAATGATACCAGATCATAAAAGAGGGGGAAATATGCTGACTCTGTCTCTTTTCTAATGTTGGGTGATAAAAATGCTACTTCAGGATCCAGAAGGTTAAGTTCTAATGTGTATTTTGAATAGAGTGTGTTGGAATAATTGCCTCATAAAGCAAAGCATTGCCCAGCCCGCTAATGGCCGCATAGTGCAGGGCTCAGCAAAGACGACCAAGCTTACTGGAAAAAATGCTGCGCCTCGACTTTTGCAGCCCTCTCATATGAAGTTAACTTTCCCCTCCCCTTGCTTTTCAAAAGGTATGAAATCCATCACCCATTTCACAAATCAGACATGCTGCTGCCTGTGACATGCAGGAGAGTTGCCTGTGCACATGGTCCCTCTGTGAACTCTGACTCTCTATACCCTCATTACCATGTGATCACCTCCTGTGCTGGACTTGACCCAGTCCCATGCTGCCTGGAGAATATGCTGGAAGTAATTCCCTGGGGCTTCTGAATCTAGGTCATAGATGACCTCATGTTTCCACTTGAGTGTTTTGATGCTGTGCACCAGGGAAACACAGGTGCCCTCTCAAGGATGGGACTGATCTGTGACAGCCATGCTGTGAGGAAGCCCAAGCTAAAAACATAGAAAGGAATCCATGAAGGGAGATGTGTAGGCATCCTTTAGCTATTTCAGCCAACTGAACACAGATACCAAATGAGAAAAGCCACACTGGACATGCTTCCTCATCCACCCTCTCAAACTCCTGCCCTAATTGTTTTCTATCACAACCATATAAAATACCTGACGTCAGATCCATCGAACAGAGCCCCACCACCCAACAGTTGAAGAAGGCAATGAGTTTATTTTTTTAAAGATACCAAGATGAACAGTACTGTGACATGATGCAGTAGAATATGGCAAGAGACTTCCACATGGAGCGAGTGTGTAAGAGAAGAGAAGGAAAGGGAAGGGGAAGGGGGCAGGGGAGGAGCAGGGGAGAAGGGAAGGAAATAGGGGAGAGGGGAAGCAGGGGAGAGGAA